TGCCACAGGCAATGGTAAACCTGATAGAAGGCCTGTTTGATAGATCAAAATGACTTGTCTGACCTGCAAGATCCACACACTGCTTTAGGAGCTGATACTCCTTATATGCTACCGCATAAACATCAACTAGGAGCAAAGAAGCGGTGCAATACGCGGTGAAAGCTGGTATTGCAAGAATCATTCGTTATCTGACATACTCCGATTTATTGATGTTTATGCGGAGCATATCAGAAGTACCAGCTCCTGAAGCACTGGCAATGAGCAGGAGGTGGTTCTAACCAACATAATGATGCGAGGTGCATCTGGCACTGGCGGAACCTAAACACCATGAAACCGTGGCCTGGTTAAATGCCTCTCAGGCAAGTGATGACAACTGATGTCTTCTAAACCGCAAGAAATAATTTTCGTTGCACTCTCCACGAAAGCACAATGAAATCGTTGCCGTCTACCTTCTGAATGGAAGAAGATATAAAAAAACGTGGCAAACGCTTGACAGATATATGGAAACTGAAAGAAAACATCTTTCGCATCGTTTGGACAGTGAAGACCTTAAAAATGTGACTAAACTGTGTTGCCCAGACTTGTATGCTAACCATTTCTCAGTACAAAAACATCTACAATGTTAGGAAAAAGAAGAGCAACTATTCGGAAAAAATAGCACAATAAATCTATGATGTGAGCTCGTGAGAATTCCGAGACGACATCTGGAAACGAACAGAACTAAACGGTATTATGGACAAACCTGCGGTAGTTAAGTCAGTAGGAGTTAGGACTGAAAATCGAAGGGTTCAGAGTTTGAGCTCTGGTCTAATCACTTCCTTCCCATCCTTCCGAGGTAGATAAATGTGCATCGATTTGTGGGATAGAAATTGGAGACTATACGCTGTTATGGTACCAAGCTGTATCTAAAGCCATAAAAGCAACAAGGCACTGGAGGCTGATGACACTGAAACAAAAATCGACCTTATCGTTGAAAGGCCACAAATGGAGCTCAGTCATGAACGTGTAAGGGAGACTGATATTCCGACAATTACAGATTTTCTCCTTTGTACGCTCCACGTTAAGAGGAGGATCAGATATGGCCGTGATGTCAAATACGCATCATCAGGCTCTCTATCCTATAAGCAGCAGGTACATATGATACATCACCCTAGTATTTGATTTCCATTTGTCATTGGACTTCAGCCAAAAATGTGCATCACTATAACAACAACAGGCAAATGCAAGTTTATAGACGTAAACTAGACACGCGACGTCGTTTGGTTTCACGTAGTTCTATGCTGAGAGTATAAGAAAGAAGATGGAACTGCAGAAATTTTCTGCCCCAAAACCGACTTAAAACGCGACAAATTGTGGAAACATCCAACGATAAAACCGATCTCTGAAGAAGAGTGCTCACATAGGCGATACAGCACACTGATGTGTTGCGCAAGATTAACTTGACTGCATCCCTCATGGAACTACTATATCACATCTGGCAACAATCAGAGCTCTGTCTTTGAATGAAACCAGCCTGCAATTCCTGCAACCGTTCTGCTCTGTTGATTCTATACTTGGAATGTGTTGCAAGTGTGCAATATCATAAGGCTGAATTACAACTGTAACAAACTAAAAATTAATCAGATTCAGAATACCACTGCTGTACTGGTGTAGTCTTTGTGATGGAAAAGATGTATTTCATGAGGTTTCACGATAGTTTCATTATCATCTATTAACCATACGGTATGATGAGCCAAAAACAAATTCGATGTCAACAAATTTTAGGAAAAACAACATATTTTATCCACTGTAATAAAAGAACACCTGATCAGGTTTATGGCAGATCGGCCTTAAAAATCAATTATATTTCAGTCATCACTCTGAAGGCAGAACTCACTTCATTATGATTCTTGCAGAATTTTTCAATGAGCCAGAATTCTAACCATCCGACAATGCTTTACATCATCCGACAATGTCATTTTATTCAAAATTGCTAAGACTACAAATCTTGACTTTCCAAGCACAATAAAATATTTTAGGATATCAAGCACTTTTCGAAAGG